AAAACTAGTTCCGCCTGCAAGACCGCCAGGCATTGCGTGAACGGTATCATAAGCCCTGTTGTTAGCAAGCTATTCCAAACCCCTATTTAATTTCTGTCGTAATCGGATGGGGGGGAGGGGGAGTCGCCCAACCGAACAAAGCCACCCTGGATGTTCTTCGTGATTTATCGACACGCAAACGACAAGTTTTTACGACATTATCAACTCCACGAGAAACAGATTCGACTTATAAATCAATAAAACACTCGTAACAAATTTATGGTTAGGGGATTCGTTTATTGCCAATGGTCAGGTGATGACTATAATCAATAAGGAAGTGGGGTCTTTACTGAAAATATGAACAAATTTCCCACACAGCACAAATCTTTGTCAGACATGCACGAAAATAATTCGGTTCTTTTCAAGAGTTCTAATATGCTGATTTGACAATTTCTGATACAACACAATAAAGTGATTGTTATTTAGAATAAAACAAAACAAGCCATAGAAGCTGACTTTAGAAACGATATTCTCGCTTCCTGAACAGTTTTATTGGGAAGGGGGGCAATGGTGTCCCTCGTCCTCCTTCCCAATAAAATTTTCCAGGAAGCGAGAATATCGTTTCGTCCCCTCAATAATTTGGAGTGAAAAAAAAATAACGATAACATATATGCTCATGGTAACAAGAATAAATAAAATACGTCAACTAAAATCAATTAAGAAAATAAAATTAGCTGGCTAGGCCTTAATTAATGTAGGTACATAACTATTTTATCAAGGCTTAAATATTCACATTATTTAAATTTTCATTAATATTCAAGGATTCACCTTAGTTGTGGACCTCTCCATTTTCACGTTACTTTCTCAAAAATTGTCTGATGTAAAGTTGAAAAATATATATAATAAGAATAAGAATAAATATATTTTATATAGAATGTTTTTATAGACAATATTATATAACGAGTCAGACAGTGAAAACGTTTTATTTTGATTTAGAGGTAGTACAAACTATGAAATCAAAATTATTTTTCAGTTTTAGACATTATTAAGTTTTAGCTGAACAAATTATATTAATGTATCTATATTATGGAGGCTGTCCCATTTTCTCCCATATTTAATTTTTAAAAATTGCTTTACTATGTTGTATGCAAAAAAAAAAATCCAAATGTTCAAATGTATAATTTATATATATATAATTTAGTTTTAAATATTATATTTGTACATTTTACAATAATTATGTTGAATTTTTATATGGACTACCGTAGTTTTTTATCTTTTTATTTTTTTGTTTGGTCCTTTGCCTCCACCCCCAATCAAAAAGAATTACGAAATTTTTATTTTAACAATGAATGTCTCAACTCTAGAAATGAGACTACATGGAAGGTCAAAAAGGAGCTGCATACAGACAACTGAAGCAATAGTTAAAGATTGCCTGAGACGGATAAGGCTGGTAAAAGCCAACAGAAAAAATAAATTTAAATTAAAGCCTAAATGAACAGAAATCTGAGTGAGTTATTAAGAAAAAACTGTTTTTATAATAAGAAACTTGAATTAAACTTGATATTGTGTGTTCAATTAATTGTGTTCTGTAATATACACGTTTATTAAATCAATGAAACATGCTAATTTTCAAATAAACATATTTATTTTCTACGGACCTTCTATAAATCATCCCTTTCATTTGATTCTTTTATTAATATAATAAAATTATATTAAAAATGAGATTTTTTTTCAGTTTCAGTCGACATTTTCAAAAACATTTCGTTTTTTTTGTTGCAACCAAAAACGTTTAAACCGAAGGTTTTTAACCGTATCTGAAATTCGTAAGTTTAGAAAATTTATTTTTAACAGATATTTGAATCATTTAAATAGTCATTTACATATCCAATACAACACCTATTCAAATCCAGTCAAACTATCAATTTTGAGCGTTTATAAAACGTAAACCGCAACAGATTTTGGTCTGTTTGAATTCTTTTAAAGATTATTCATATTTGTTCACATATGAATAAATCATATGTATTTTTAAAATCGTCATAACATTTCTCATGCACGCATTAAATTAATTTTATCTTATGTATTAACTTGGCAGTTAATTAAATTACTTTTAACTGAGAAAATCTGGAAGAACCGACATTTTGGCAAAGTTCCATTGATAAATAGGGGTTGAATGGGAGGTGGGGGCTGGATTATGACCCCTGACCCAGTAGGGTTCGGCACTGCTGCCAACATAACCCTACTGAATTTCTTATAAATAAAATACTTCATCATTGTAAAGTTTCTATTTATTTTCCAGAGGTCAGTTTTTGTTATTTAAAATCAGAATATTTATTATACTTTAAAATAAAAATAGAGTAAAGTATACAATTTTCGAAAAAGTTAGCCGAGAAAAAAAACCCTCCAAAATTATAGAAATTGTATTCAGGAGTAGTGCTGTGCACTTTCCGCCCTCAAGAATATCCTGGCAACTTTGAAGAATAGTCGAGCTAACTTAGCACTTAAAAGTTTGCTAGAAACATGTAACCCATCTCCAGTTAAATTTCACTTGCCGCTTCTTTCAGTTACAACTAAGTTCCTTTAATAGTGCCCTAGGTCATCTCTCTAGCCCTATCCACTTGTAAGGGCCAATTGTTTCAACTAAAAATAACCTAGTTCTTTCTTTGCTTGTAACGGTTAATTGGTAGGGCAGTTAAAAATAATATTTTTTCTGGACATCTTCTGTCTATTTATTATTTATATTTTTGTGGATATTCACACATTGGAACATATAAATATACTACATTATAACTACTTAAAATTTAAATCAATGAGAAAAGTTAATTTTTTGACGTAAAAAAGTTAATTATGGATTGTATTAGAGGTATATTAATAAAATCATACTCGTTTCGTTTTCTGATACGTAATACTATTTTCTTATGCTTTGATGAAAAAAGTTGATTATTCTGAATAAACAGTCTTTAGTAACGTTAATATGATTAACTTTTATTCATGAGAGACTTGGTACTAATACATTGGATGAGATTAATTTTATCTTGTTTTTCCTTTTATCTTTTTGTTTTTTCTCTTATAAGATGAGAATATTTTGTATCGTTCCTCATTTATATTTTATATTGTATATAGTTTTAAGTATCTTGTACATAGCTCCATTAGTTTTGTTATATATATTGTTAGTTCACGTTTGTTTTTTTTTTCTATTAATTTTTATAGACTAAGTGCTCATTTGTTGAATTTTTTTTTTCTTTTTTTTTTCTTTCTGAACTGAGATTATCTTTTATCATTCCATTTGTTTTGTATATAATTTAAGAATTTTATACATAGTTTCATTTTTTCTTGTAATTATGATTAGTTTAATTATAGCTTCTTTTTCTTTTATTTATATGACGTAACAAATCTTCTGGCCAGAAGAATATTTTTTTTTTTTTTTTAGTACATGTCTGTTATTCTGAGGAGACTTTGTCCCAGAATAAAGTGATTTTTTTCTATTCTAGTACAACCTAGCACTAGGAACTTATAGATATACTATTCGGCCATCGGGGAGTCAACTTTGTCTTTACATAAAAACAATCATTCAAGAGAAGACAAAGGACAACATGAGTTTTTCTGTATGGCGAAAACAATTTTTTATGGTTTCTGCTAATCTCTGCAAAATGCATTTTCTGGTTTAAAAAATCTGACTCTGATCTACTACTTCAGTCCATTGATGATACTAGTAAGTGTATAATTTTCTAAATAGACAAAAACCAAGTTTATCCTTCCCTGGTCAACTTTACAATAATAATCCTTTCTATTTTTTCCATTTATCAAGTAAGAGGTTCATTGAATAATTGGTTTTTTCATCACACGTATTCAATAGAATATTGATCCATTTGATTTTATAATTTCAATAACGATTTGAAACCAACAATTTTAAATTCACCTTACCATAATTAATGAAATGCATTTCGTATTTACTTCCAGTTTCCATTCATAACTTTATGCAATAAAAAATCGCATTTTTACAACTATATAATTAGTTTTGATTGTTAGATTCGAAATTTGCTTAAAAATACCAGGCACACAAGTAGCTAATATGCCAAGCAAACCATATCTTCTTTCTTTATCTTATTATTTAGGAATATTATATTTTTAAATTTATTATATATAATATTTAACAGAATCGATTCTCTTATCTGAAAAGGATAATATTCTAATTCTTTATAATGTATATGAATAAATTAATTTCAACTTGTTATCTTAGCAATATATTCTTACTTTCCGAGCTTCAATATAGTATTTTTTTCAATGAAATTCTTGGAAAAAAATGATAAATTCCAATTATTATCATATATTTAATGGGTTATATTGCAGGTAATTACTGTTTCATATATAATTATCACTTCCTTAAACAACGTAAGGTACAATGTATATTAATTTTATTCCGTTTCAAGGTCAAAAATACGATTTTTTTTTAAATAATTTTTATTCGTTTCCTATATAAAGCATTTTTTTTTTTTACATATAAAATGATTTCATTATTTCAATTTTCAGCTCAGAAAAATATATATGCTATTTTTTGTAATTTCAATGCACTAAAAAAAAAAAAATCCTAAATAAGTCGAATGTTGTAGCTTTTTTGTGCAACTCAGACTAATGTTGCATTATACGCATTTCTTTTTTTAGGTTTTTCAATTATAAATAAATAACTAAAAATCATATTTTTTTTTTTTTTTACAATAAGATAAGTACATCTAAATGCATGGTCTTACAAAGTATCCTGAATCCTGAACCAACAATGGAGGTTTGAAATCAATCAAGGAATACAGGATTTAATTGAGCGTTGGATTGTTGGAGACAGATACAGGTAGAAGATTATCATGGTCTATAACAGAAGCCCTTTCATTTGTGATGGCCATTGTTGACCAGTGCTAAATTTCATCAGGTCAATAGGGATCTAGTGGTTTGTCGGGGGCAGGTTGTCAGCACTGGGGGGGAGGGTGGCGAAGTGGGGGGCGCCCGAGTGGGGGCAGTCGTATCTCAGCCATGGTCGGGGAAGCTATGTCCTTCGTCACAGTATAATGTGGCTTCTTCAAGTCAAAGCAAGCCAAAGGTAATTATTTCAAATATGATTAAGTATTTTGATAATCTTTTTCATATACAGGTTCACTGAGTTATGAATTTGTTCAACGAAGTGATCAAACGTTAACTGTTACGACAAGCTTGATTACATAAAAAAAAAAAACATATAAAGAATTAAAATAATGTTGGAGCACATCTTCGTCACTTCATGAATCTATTTAAAATACATTAAAATGGCCAAAAGACATTAATATGTATCTCAATATGTTTCGTGTTGAAACTGTCACTACACATAAAGGTTCTAAATAACCTGAAGAATTAATTGTTATTATATAGTTATGTATAAATGATTATATCTGCAATAAACATACAATTAATAACTTTTAATTATTCCCATTCACATTACCTAACTTGTCTCAATGAACACTTTGCTTAGATACATTTTTGCTGAAAACAGCCCTCTGATGAATTCTTTGTAACGATATTGAACAACCAAAACATTAATAACAATTACATCATTTATTTAAAAAAGTAATGTTCAAATGAACCAATGAATAAATAAGCATCTCTTTACCATTGCACTGGATGATGCATTCATTACTTTATCTCTGTTAAATTCCAAATAACATCATGGTCTCCAATTTGGGAAAGGGTCACCAGACCCGTGAATTAGTATTATAGTATCATTTTATAATTAATTTTATACACTTTTTTAAAAATTGAAATATAAGATTCCATCAGAGATAGCTTAGTCGTCAATGGCTATATCATACTCTAACCATTATGATATATTTATTCACTCAACACACAAACACAAACATACATATCACGTGGAAAGGGGGCTGGATTATTACCAGGGCTCGGCCTAGGGATTTGGAGTCCAAAATATTCGAATGATTTTTTTTTTCTTAGAGGTTAACATAAAAGAAGCTGAAATATTTTTTCGATGGATTGTTGATTTGGAAAACCTGTTTAAAATTTGAAATGATTTTTCTTTTCTTAGAGCCTAAAATAAAAGAAACTGAAAGGTTTTTTCAATTGATTGTTGATTATTTATATTTTGATTCAATAGCAACCTCGAAATATATACGTTTAATTAATGAGACAAATGATCAAGTATAAATATTTTTGTTTTATATTTTATTTTGTTCATTTCTTAAATTTTCCTTCTGACATAATTTTTCACGTTACGGTAGTAAGGAAATAAAGCAAAATGTTCAAGAGATATTATTAAATAAATATACGTACTTATTCTTATGAATACATGTTAAATAAGAAAACTCAAAGTAATGATAAATTTGTTTTGTTTTATTCGTTACTAAATAAGTGCTATTTATTCCTGTATATTTCCTGTATATGTGTATATTTGATACTAATAACATAAATTGACATGTCCATGAAAAAAAATTAGTAAAATAATTTAGTTAAATTTGTTATAATTACATGGATGTCGGGCATTTTACAAAAAAAAAAGCATAATTTTCCATATTCTTAAAATACTGCAGAGAAAAAAATATCAATGAGAACCCGCTATGACTCCCCACCCTTTCCCGATGCGGCATTCATATATTTCTTTCTCTGGGATTACTTTTATGAATTTTGCTTGTACACATACAAAAAAAGAATAGTGAAACTTCATATTTTTATTAAAATATTATTTCTCTAGTGTTTTTTCTAATTAAAGATATATGTAACATATGAATATTTTAAAAAAAAATTTTTTTTGTTCACCATCCCATATAATTCATAGTCGGGTGGCAAAAAAATATTTACAACATAAGATATGAAGGTTTAACTCTCAGAATCGTCAGAGATAGAAGAAATGCACAGTGAGACTGTTTAATAAATTTTTGAAGAAAAAAAATTACTTGCCGAAACAGGCTTAAATGATTTGTATTAACTTGAGTACTAAGAATCTAATTTAAAAAAAAATATACTTTTTTTATCAAATGATTCAAGGAAATCTTTTTTTTTTCATAATTATTTACAATATCAGAAAATGAAAACCAAAAAGCCTCATCAGAGAAGTTGTAACTAAGGAGGCTTTGCTCTCTATGAACATAAAATATCTTTTTTTTTTTAATCAGAAAATAAGAATCAAGAATGAAAATTAGGTTATTTGCAAACGATACACGATTCCTTCAGTGAAGTCAAATTGTTTGGTTGTATTTTCCCAAAAAATAATTTAAAAGTTGCCTATGCTTCACTTCCAAGTGAAACCAAACAACCCAATGTAACTGAATTTTCTTTGATTCGTAGCCTTCTTAAATTAAACAATATCGAAACATTAAAACATATGCAACTTAAAAATTTCTTATACGGACTTTTGAGTGTAGGATTCTTGTTTCGCTTTCCAATGGCATATTAAACAACCCAAATTTCATCCTTGTTCTTTGCGAAGTATTTTTTTTTTTCAAAATCTGACGGAGCATAAGCCCTATTTATAATCAAGCGTTTTCTCATTCTTATTTGAATTAATCGACCAATGATGCGAAAATCTTTGCTATCAAAACATAATTTTTTATGAAACCGAAGGTATTTTAGTTTTTTTTTAAATATTTTTATGTTTAGAAAATTCACTATATCTCCATTTCGCTTTGTCTTCTGATAGCAATACCCCAGTAATGATTATTCTACTTAATATTTACAAAACATTTATGGTTGATTTAATTTTTAACATACGATTTCTTACTAAATAAACAAAAGTTCTCAAAAAGAAACATTAAACATGGTATACATATTTATGCAACCGATTCAAAAAAGGATGAGTTTCAAAATTCAACATATTTAAATGTAACGAACGTTTACATATGCCTTTGTCATTCTTGAATTTATGCCGGTGGTTTTCTATTTAAATGAAAAAGTACACACATCCCTCTGGTGGTCCCATACAAATTTGATCAGGATCAGATAAAAACTTATCTGATGAATAGAGAGGAACTCTTTAGCGAACGACAGCAATTCACTTCTGATAACTACAATGGTTTTATTTAGTGTACATTCCTAAATCTATTAGTTTATTTTTTTTAAATAATACAAAAATAAACTAATAGATAAACAACATAAATAAAAAATAAACAACATTCATTTAATACGACAATAATATTCATAAATACCTTTTTTTCCTTTTTTATTTATTTATGATATTTACAACTGTATTAAAAAAATACATCTGGTAAATTTATATTTTTCTGTTTATTTATTGTACATAGAGTAAATTAGCTACTCTTATAGCTCTAATCCTATTGTCCTTAGATGTGACAAATTGTAATATATCTCAATACAGGAAAGATAATGAGGAAATTTGTAAAATTGGATATAATAACATGAAAACACTTGTTGAGCAACTACCCCCTGGTGGCACTCTAATAATGTGCTTACAGTATATCATGGCACCATCTTTTCAGATGCCTCGGAGGGTTATCAGAAATTGAAGAGGAAGCAAGGTTGGGAGATGGTTGGTTGAGAGAAAGAGGGGCAAGAGATGGTTAGGATGGTTCTAAAGTTTGTTATGGAAGGATAGGTATCTGGATTGGGCCAAATCTGAAACATAAGGATATCATTTATAATAAAGTAAGGAGCATTGAGGAATGATTGTAAGGATTAGACACGAGAGGAATTTGATAGTTAAGTGGAACCCTATAGTTCAACTCCATTAAATACATAAAAATGTAATTATCCCGAGAATTCTAATCATACCTGCCAAACAGATGTTTACATTCAAAAGATTAATAGTTAGAATCACAGTATAACTAATCGAAAAACGTTAAGAGAATGAGATATTCATTAGGCAATTTTTGAACATAAAGTAAAAATAAACATAACTTGGATATTATTTTAGTAGGTTTTGTACTGAATATGTAAACACAGCACGGATATCACCGTCATACTGTTTTCTTTATTTATTATGTAATTGCATATTTTTATCATTTCGGCCGAACACCTATCGTTATTATGGTTAACACATATCGTTACTATTTAACAATTTGCTTGGGAATAGCTATGTTTCTATATGAAAATAGCTATATATGGAATATAGCCATTTTAAAGTATTTTAGTTTTACTCCAACGATTTCTTCTTCAAATTGTATGTTTTTAGGTTCACCTAGCCTCTTTAATCCAATACCATTTAATTTGTCTGGTCAATAATCTTACAACATCCACAATCTGATATTGATATACGCGTTATAACATTACTAATTAATTGAATCCTTTATTGTTGGCTTGGATCCTTCACAATTATTAACATAATCGGTTAAATCATTGCCCGACAGCTTCCTACGTCATTATCAAACGTCATTCCTTCATCGATTCTCTGTCACACGAATCATCTACCATATTTTGTAAGCAAACGTGGTGATTTATGGCATTTCTGACGCACATTATGTCCAAATAATTTTCAACATTCCATCATTTTCGTCCTTCAGCGCCATCAGGCGACACGGCTGTTCTAGGTACATATACATCACGAATAGTAACTGCAGATAAGTTATTGTTTACCATAATACTCCCAACTTGTTTCAAATAAATCCAAAATTCAATAAGCACATGGTCAGTCGCATATTTATGATGAGTTCTTAGAGAGTTTCCGTCATCAATTATTTTTGTATTCTTAGAGCCTAAGGTAGCTGATTTTCGAGGTTTTCTGGAAGACAATAGATCATCCATGCATTATTTATCCAAAGCAAACGAAAAAGTATGAAGGCCCATTTGAGGAGTTGAGCTATGGGGCTCCACTAAACCATCGAATTCCTCTCTTATCCAGTCCTTACAATCCAAAATCCTTCGTAAAATTCTCAATGCTCCCTACTTTGCTACAAATAAAACCATCCATAATGACCTTAATGTTCCTTTTGTTTCAGATCTGGCCCAATCCAGATACCCATCCTTCCATAATAAACTTCAGAATCATCCCAACCCTCTCGTTTTTAACCTTACTTCCTCTTCAATTCCTGATAACCCTCCGAGACGTCTGAAAAGAAGATGGGCCCCTTGATCTCCTAATGTAAACATATCATTAGAGTGCTACCA